GGGTATACTACTTTCTCTAATGATTTCGCAGTTACAAAAGTGAATTTCCCATTTTAACGACATCACTTGGGATCTCTATACTGAGCAATTTATACACTTAGAAAAGCACCCATTGCCTATTAAACTGACACTTTGGGGTATGTTAACAATTGAAAGGGTTTCACATCTTGAGAAGCACTCTCTGCCGATTGAAACAACTGAACTTGGGATATTCATTTCTTTTAACATGACACACCCATTAAAACAGTCTGCTCCAAGTTGGGTCACACTCTTTGGTATTGTGAATTCTTTAAGTCTAATACAACGCGCAAATGCTCTATATGGTAAATTCCGTATTGTGTAATTTGGGAGTTTAATAGAAGTGAGCGAATCGCAATTGAAAAAACAGGACTCTCCAATGGAGTATATATTCTCTGACATTTCTACTATAGAAAGTGACTTGCATGAACACAAAGACTTTCTTCCTAATATAGTGACGGTTGGAGGAAGACTCACCGATTGAATAGAACCATTTCCACAAAAACACATTTCTTCTAATTTACGAACATTTTGTGGGATTTCAATTGACCGAATTTTTTTAAAGGATTTTTGGTCTTTGTTAGTTACAACCAAATTTTTAAATGACAAATAAGAGATGGCACCTACATTGAGGTAATCAGTGAATGTCACTTCAAACCATATGTTGACTTGAAAGAAATTTCTTTTGTATGTAGGAAAATATGTAATGTCATAAATGTCATTTCCAAAATTGGGATCATTGGCATCCCACAAGTTTAAAGTTTCTATGTTTGGAAAATAATTAATAGTTCGGTTATAAATAGGGATTGGGTTAAAGTGAAATTTCGACATGTAACCTTTGTACTTTTAATTTACAAATTCTAATGAGATGAAATCTTTTATTGAACAAAAGTATTGCGAAATTATCATCATATAATACCCATCAATTCGACCCATTAATTTAATTATTCAGATTAAATATAAGAATTTATAAAAACTATTTATAATTAATACTCATAATATATTTGCATGTTATGTATTTTTGATTGAATTGTTTTTCTTTTCCTTTTTTTTGATTTTGATTTTCTTTTCATTTCTTATGTTTAATAATAAATTCGTTTACAATTTGTAATAACATTAATATTAGTATTAATGTTAATTAAGTATTAATATTGTAATAATATTATTCATATTAATAAAGTATAGCCATTAATATGATGGCTATACTTTATGTGTTTATTTAAAACAAGATGTTAACCAATCACTTGGTGACGGTATATCTTTTATTAAAAAGATGTTTTTTCTGTTTGTTTGTGCAATAACATTTTTGTAAATTTGTTTAGTTAATTAAATTTGACATATACTGTTATTAAATAAAGACTATTTATAGACTTCTAATTATGGAAAAAACGGCAACAATAAAATAGTGAGTCAATATTATGTTAAGTGTTTCTTAATTTTGATTATATTTAATTGTTGTTTTTAGTAAAATTATTTTTTATTATACTATATGCTTAATAGTATAAAACTATTAAGAATAACTGCCGTCATAAATAAATCTACACATTTTGCTTTTATTTTTTAGAAAAGGATACAAGAAAAAAGAACATTTTGGTGATAAAAATTTACAAGATTTTGATAATAATTATTTAACAATCAAATAACAATAATACATGTAATAAGACAAAAACAGTTATTATGTCTAAAAGTTCTGATAATTTTCAATCTCTCGATATTGTTGTTATTTTATTGAACCAAACAACACGCTTTATACTAAAATAAAAATAATATAAAACAAATAAAAACTTGATTGTAATCAATAATTTTATTAGGTATATTGTTTATTTTTATTTAATTTTGAGATTAAAATTTATAATATAAATATTATTATAATGATTAAATTATTAGAATTTACATTTTAAATTAATGTGTTTTTATTTAAATAATTTTGTAAAAAATAAAACATAAAGGCTTTTGCAAGAGTCAAACTCACAACTTTTTCCTTACTACGTAAACTCATTACCAACCATGTTAAGAGGCCTTTAAATTATAAATTTTGAGTTTTGTTATTTTCAATAAATAAATAATTAACCAAATATGTTTCAAAAATGTAAAATATGTTCAAAACAAAAAATGAACAGTAAAAATACAAATATTCAGTCGTAAATAAATGCATATACATTGTTAACAATTTTTAGAATATAAAAAGTAAAGTTCATTCAATTCAGAGCTCTCAGATAAGTTAAAAATCAAAGATCATAACAAATAAGACGCTGTTAATATTTTAATAAAATGTGTTAATAAACAAGTCATTGTGATTATAGATTATTACCTTTTTGTTTTTTCCACGAGTTTATTTTAATAAAACTACTTTACTGTTTACATTAATACGTCTCTTGGTGATTGAAGTGTGATAAATGAAACCTTCTTTTAATTGTCAATAAAACTATGTTTTAATAGAAACAAAAAACAATAAACACTACATAGATATGATAAATTATTAATGTTAATTCAATTGTTTGGAAAAAAACAATCCAACCAATTAAATTGTTTTTGTTATTGGTGTTTATACTTAACAATTATAGAATATAACCAATGTGATATCATGTAATTGATGTTATACAAAAATACAATCACAATTTGTCTGTAAATTTAAATTATTTTTAATTAAATTGCGAATTGATTCAATACAGTCAATATTCGATAAGAGGGCTATTCGATATAAGGATTTATTCAATAAAAGACAAAAAAATAAAAGAAAAATCTCTTATCGAATATTGAAAAAAAATCAAAAAAACAACAACTTCTTTTTTTGCTATTTTTTAATATTTTTTTGTCCAAAACCTTGAAATGGTAATTCATAAACCAAATTGTCATTAAGTTGAAAAAAAAATTAAAATAATTTTTAAAATAATTTTAAAAGCAAATGAGTTTTTCATCTAAAACCGAAATAATGTTAATTAACGTGTCGGTGGAGCGTGTTGGATTATGATAAAACAACGCATGTTTATTTTGAAAACTAAGAGTTGTCATATTGCTCTTCAAATGTTCGTTTTGATGCTGTTTATGTTGTCTGTTAATATTTTGATTCTATAACGGACGTTTTTTTGGTTTAATAAACACTAGTAAAATATAGCATTTGTTTTTTATATTATAAATCACAAAAGTTTTATAAAAAATGGCAAAAATATTTTTTGGGATAAAAATATAATTTGGATTTATGTTGAGACAAAGAACAAAATAAGGTATTTTTTGTTATTTATTGAAGTTTTTATTATTTAACCTTATATCAAATAAGACTGGAATATAGACTGGACTATTATCGAATATATACTGTATAATTAAACACTAAACATGAAATATTTATAAATTTGATAAAAAATAATCACTGTTTTTAAAATAACAACAATGAAAAGTCAAAAACATTTATCGTTTGAAGTTTTCAGTTGGTTTGTTTTATAAAGAAAATCATAAATGTTTAAATATATAAATTACAAACTTATAAATTTTAGATTTTTAAATTATTAAATTTCAAACCAATGAACAATTATTTAATAGTAATTGTGTTTTAAAATTGTATTTAATTAAAATTTTAAATAAAAATTAATGTTATGTAATTAAATTGTTGTTTTTCTTTTTTTATTCGTTTTTGAAATCCAAAAACACAAACAAAGTTTATATAATGAATTATTAATTATCAATAACTTGGATTACTGAAAATAGTACAGTTTAAAATAATCCAAATTTAAATTATGATGTTTTTGTGTTATTTATAAAAAATGGTAATAATTAATACCATGTGATATAGTTATTATTTTCAAATTGGGGTTTAAACTAATTATAACAATGTTTTACAAATATTTGAATATAATAAAATTAATTTAACATAAAATCAATTTGAAATTGTTTATAATTGATGTGGTTTTTATAGCATGTCCATGTCAAAACTGATGAAAATAATTATATAAAACACAGTATTTAAATTTATTTATAAAAAAAAGAATTCAATAATATATATTGATATGCGGTTAAACCTCCTTGTTTTATTACTTAATTTTCTCAATACATTTTCGTTGTCATTGAACTCGACTTATATGTCCAACAAAAACATTATGCCGTTTGAGTTGAATAGAATCAAAGATGTAACTATAACGCAATCGGTTTGTGATGAAAATTATACATACATTTATGATGCTTTAGACAATATAACAGCATTATATCATACCACTTTTTATTTTCAACAAGGGCTAAACATAAAATCATTTATAATTAAAATTTCAAATGTCAAAGAAAAAATTAACATTGTAAATGATAATAGAACTCCTGGGATGTTATTATATTTTGGATGTATGAATTCTGTTGGTTGTCGAACTTCTGGTGACAGCACCCATCGATCAGAAGTTGTTCTTAATGGAAGCCCATTAACAATTTTTAGTGAAAATGATGAAAACATTATTGTTTTATTATATAAAACAACTTATCTTTTTATTGATGGAATTGTTCCACAAACATTAACATTACAATTTAAAGAGCCAGCTTTGATTCGAAATATGAATGAATATTTATACGCCTTTACAGGTACAGTTAATTCTACTACTATTATAGATGGAAGTGGATTACAAATTGTTGTTTTGTGTTATCAAAATCATTATGGCAGATACGCATTTTCTAAAACTGCATTTTCAAAAGAAAATTGTGAATGTATTCCTTTAGATTATTCACAAAAAATTTTAAAAAGTACTGTTTTTAACTATCCTGATTGTGTTTACAATTCTTCGATGTTTAATTTGAATCTTTCGAACTATATGTCATGGAATTTGGATATATATGAATGGTACACAATTTATTCTAATAATCCGATGATGTGGATAACAGGTTCAAATAATCAAGTTTTAGAATTAGAAAAATTTGATATGAAAAGTTCTTTTAGTATTTTTTTAAATACCAAAATAAACAATTTGACAATTTCAAGATTAAATGTGGGAGGATGGTTTGACTCAAATGTTGAAATAAAGCAAGTCAATTTGAAACCAGAGTTTAAAAACAAAATATTGTTTGTTGTTCACAACGGTCTGCTGATATCTGAACAATTGGAAAGTTGTGGTGAAAGAGTATTTACCAAAGATTGTGATATTGATATGTGTGTTTGTGATTATCGAACAACGAGTTCGTCAACTGAATTTACCTTTTTGAACCAAAATGCTAATAATTGTCTTGACAACACCAATTCAATTCAACTCAAACTTAACATCAACAATTATACTTATTTACCACGATTTGAAAGAGATATATGGGAAAGTTTGATATATTCAAATGGTGGAAGTATTATCGCTAATCCAAATTTTATATCTACACAAGTTGAGTTTTCTTTTTGTGGTGTCAATTTAAAAATTACTATTGAAACAACAATAAAATGTGAAATATTGAATGTTTATTTAAATACCAGATATATAATTAAAAATCATGGTGTTTTAATAATTGGAAAAATCATTTATCGAAATGTCATTAATAGATTAAACACAAATGGAACAATTTTGGTATTAAAAGGTGGAAACGTAAGGCCTTTTAACAATAAAATAACATTGAGTGTTGACCAACAGATTTCAACAATGTTTTTCTGCAACGAAGTGTTGTCGTCGATTGTTGAAATTGATTTATTATTATTCGAAAATCCCAAAGGGATAAGTTATGGATCAAAATTGTATAGAATATGTTTTGGGCACAATCCACTTTCAACAGAAATAATATGCGAATTGGATCAAAGTGATTTTTCATTATTTTCGAGTCACAAAAACGTTCTTTATTGCCCTTTAAATGATAATTTGGTAACCCAACTGATTCAAACTAAAATGTTTATTTATAATTATCAATGCAATGGAATGTTTGTTCAACAAAAAGAAATTGTTCAGATGACTTCTTTTATTAAAGGTGAATCAAACTTTGATGATCCCATTGATAACATTTTGTATATTGATGATACCTGGTTATATAGTAACACCATTACAATTAGAGGAAATAAAAACAAACTTTTGTTGGGAAACAAAATGGGGTTCGAGTTACCAAAGTACGATGTTCAGCTCAATAAGATTTATGTTAAATCAAATTTTTCATCATTGTGCAATTCATTTTTTATTTCAGAAACTGGAATTAAAGAATGTATTTTATGTAAACCATTCAGTATTTTACAAAACAAATCATGTCTTCTTTTTGACGTCAATTGTATTACTGATGGTAATATTCGAACAAGATATTGCGAAACATGTAAATCGTCTTACCAAGCATGTAAAGAAAAATGTATTTTATGTTCAACTTTTTGTCTTAGATGTATTGATGATCAATGCATTTTATGTCAAGAAGTGTATGAATTAAAAAATGGTATTTGTGTTGAAGTTGCTAAAGAATTTGCCTATTATAAAAGCAGAATTTGGAAATGTTCTAAACATTATTCAAACGAAAATCAAACTTGTTTGCCATGTAAAGAAGGTTGTGTTTTTTGTCGAAATAGTGTGTGTATTATCTGTGAGCCAAATCGTGTTTTTGATGTTAATGGGGAGTGTGTAATGCCGATTGGAATTCTTTTAACAAATATGAAAAAAGCAATTATTTGTCTTCCATCGTACTTTCTTGATAATAATAAGTGCAATTTGTGTTCTGATTTTCATGGAAATTTGTGTAAATTTTGTACAAAAGATAATTGTATTTTCTGTGAAGGAGGTATCATTGTTTCGGATGGAAAGTGTCTTCAAATCGATGAAACCAATTGCACAAA